CCATATATCTTAAAAGTGGCTGAGATTTTGACACACTGTCCTAGAGGACTCACATCCAAGTATAGAGAAGCCTAACCTGCCTGGTACCTGCTTAGTTCTTGTTACATGCACTCTTAGGCAGTGTTTCTCTGTTGCTTCATTGTGATTTATACATCAAAATATATGTCACATTCAAAACCTTAAACCTACCTATTACAGCATTTAATTTACACTTCTGCGGAAATGAGGATGTATGCAAGTCTTTCTAGAACCATATTTCTCAACCTAGCAACTTTTAAGATATGTGGATTTTAACTCCCAGATTCTTCCAGCCATGCCTGAAACTTTGATCCACACATCTTAAAAGTTAGTAGGTTGAGAAACATTGCTTTTGAGAAACAAATACGTATTTCTGCATCTGCCTAAATAATATCTTTTGGTAGACATCTACATTCTTTGATTTTGTTGAAGACCAAAGAACAAATTGGCAAGTTCTATCAATGGTATACCCAAAGATTAGATGCTAGCGGACCATAGATTAGATACATCTCTGTAAATTACTGAACAAATAACATTTGACCAGGCTGCCTCAACAGGGTAAGTGAAAACTGTATTATGGTTGAACTTAGCAAAGCTTCTGCCTGCTGTTCTTACAAGGTTCCTTTTGCTACCTGAAGTTCAGCTGTTTTACCTTTTGCCCTAAAGCAGTTGATTTAGAATAAAACTAAAGCCATTGAAGTTTCGAGAAGTGTATTAATAAGACTGAAATGGTGGGAATTTAAGGGCATAAATGCTGGTTAGAGAAACTTCTGTAACGTCTATGAGAACCAGAGCATTGAAATGGTACCTGTGTCACTTAGCACTTTAGAAATTATACCCTCCAGGCTTCTTTGTAATTCCCTTGTATACAGACTTCTACAGAGTACAGGTTCCTGCATTGAGACACTACACAGTTTAACATCCATTTCAAGAGTAATAATAATGTGTGTGAGGGAAGAATGTGTAGTTTGGTAACTTGGTTTAAAGTGAGGAAAGAGCACGTAATGCAGATATGTCAATGTTGGATGAGGCACTCCAGAATCACTTAGCAAAGTTGCAGTTCAAAAGCTTTTACCTGACAAATGCTGTTTATTGAATTCTTTATAAAATATACTTAGTATATTCTGAGGAGTGTACACGTCTTATCTTCAAATATACTTCTAAAAGAATAGCAAATAATGCTAAGTTAAGGAATGAAATATTTTGCTTGACTATTGGAAGCCATTCAGCTCATAGGTTTCAGATAATTTTTACCTTTTAAAAGAGACCCAAAATTTATAACATATTGCACAGGGAAAGAACTTCAGTTCTTACATTGTTTATCTTCGTAAATGAGTTTTATGAAGATTTCCACAGGATAAAAGAATCAAGAGTTCGGATTGAGAGCCAAGCAGTAGCGTCAGAAAAGTTTAATTTGGAGGAAGTAATTTATGTTTTTAAAAGTTGCTTGAGCTGAGTTTTACAGAAATCCATACTTTCTCAACCAGTAACATCCAGGGAAAGGTCGGGGTTACGAGAACTCATCTGCAAATAAATCCTCTTGGAGAGGTCTGGACCAACTCGCCTCGTTGTCGTCGTCACTCCATCACCACGACGGACGGGAACCTCCGCAAGAAGGTTATGTCGCTCATGCTCTGAAGTGTGACTATCATAAGCCTGGATGCAGCCAGAATACGAAACATAAGTAACTGCACATGTTCTGTTGGATAATTCATAATTGTTTTGAAACCTACGATAAATATCTCAGATTAGGCAGCAGGTGGAAAAGTTCAATTCCTAGCTCAAGCAGCTATTTTTCCATTCCATGGAAACTGCTGATACAGAGTCTACTCTAGAATCATATATGTCTAGCTGGCTAACAAGTTAGGTCATCTTTTTAGGATGATACTGTAATTGTTTGTTAGGGAATAAGCTCTCTTTAAGCACAGTTAAATGTAACATTTGAGTAATTACAAAGGTAGTTCTCGACTTAAAACCATTCGTTTAGTGACTGTTTAAAGTTACACTAGCACTGAAAAAAGTGACTGACGACCGCTTTTCACACAACCGCTGCAGCATCCCCACGATCATGTAATCAAAATTTAGATGCTTGGCGACTGGTTCGTATTTATGACGGTTGCGGCGCCCGAGTCATGTAAATCACCTCTTGTCTGACAAGCAAAGTCAAATGGGGAACCTAGATTCACTCGGCAACGGTGTTATTAACTTAACAACTGCAGTGATTCACTTAACAAATGTGTCCAGAAAAGATGTAAAATGAAGCAAAAGTCAGTGACAGTCTCACTTAACAACGATTGGGCTCAATTGTGGTTGTATGTTGAGGACTGTACCTTTGGTCTATGGTTCTGAAGTACTGGAATGTCATCCAGCAGAATATATGAAAAACAAGCAAAAACATCGATTTACTTCCAAAATCTTGTCTATGTGAAACTCTTATTTTTTTTTCCCTTGTACCGCCTGAAAATTTCAGGATGAGATTTTAAATTTCTTTTGCTAGTTGGATATGAATTGTCCTGCACACATCGAATATGCCTTATTATAGCAACGTAAAGCCTTGCCTGCATCAGAAGCAGAGGAGAAGGGTACCGGGCTACAATGGCATTGGCCATCTCCAGGCTGACTCGGTTGAATTGCTGAATCTGTCTCTTCCATACCTGAAGCAGTCCCTTTCCAGTGCGATCCACCTTCACACCTCTACACCAGTCTCCCTCCAGGCAGAAGGAGAAGCTGGTTTTATTTTTTTCCTTTCTACAAAAATGACAAGAAATGTGGCAAAATATTGGAACAAATCATATCTTGTAATGTTTCTGTTGCTCTGTAGGGAAATTGGAAGTTAGAAGAGGGGACCATCATACAGATTCCACATTTGAAATCGGGCACTATGACGGAATGATATTTCAAGGAATCAGATTGCGTCACCAGTTAAGCACAAGACAGATTTCCAGTACAGGCCAACTCGTCTCTTTTCTAAAATATGTAGCAAACACATGCTTCATTACTTTGCCTATATCTTAATTGCTATATGTTGATGCAAATAACCTCTTTTTAAACGTATAGTGCACAGTGACGCCAAGACTTTCCTTGTGAAATGGATAAAGATGATTGAGGTAGAAAATTAGAAATAAAATGGGAATGAGTGTAGATTATGGCAAATGTGCCAGGAATTCACAGAATGTATTTATTTAATGGGGTTTTTTTTAGGGCTGCCAACTCAAACAATTGAGTCTAGGCAATAAACAACAAAGAGAATAAACAGAAAAAAATAGCTAACATTAAAAAAGCAACCCAAAATATAAAATAAAAACCAAACATGACAATGAAACAAAGAGACTACTCAACTAGTCCCAAATGTCTGGGGAAAATATAGTTCTTAATGGCTTTTTAAAAAATGATCATACTTGGGGCCTTAAAAAAAAGGGAACCTGGAACATGGCCTCATCATGGGGGCATGAGAAGGTAGGTATTTAATGCTGATAACCAGGACTTTGAATTGCACTTGGAAGCCTCTTGGGAGCCATGGCTGCTCATGGAATAACTATATCGCACAGATATAATAAGCTGCATTGATCACTCCATGCACCATTGCATTCTGGACCAATTGAAGCTTCCAGGTGCTCTTCTAGAGCAGGACCCTGTACAGACGCTCCAATCAGGAATGATTAAAGCACAAATGACCATGGGCAAATCCTCCTGTCCAGGAATGTGTGCAACTGGTGCACAGGATAGCCATAGATACTATACATATGTTCTTTGTTATCTCACTCACTTGAATGGGGCTTCAGCCACAGCCTTGGTGAACATACTAGCAAATTCTCCAAACTCCTTCCAGCTTGCAAGCACTTGAACCTGGACACCAGTGTGAAGCTGCAGCTCGACCAGAGCCTGAAAAAGCAAAGATGAAAGCTGAGATTTATCTTTAAAAAAAAGAGAGAGAGACACTAAACATAAACTATTTCCTTCAGGATGGTAAACTCTTCCATCTCTTCTGATATAAAAACATTTCCCTCTGCCCACAGTAGCTCAGAACGTAGTTATCTTTTTTTTGGCCTGCATATTCTGTTGTCCTTTTGAGAATAGTTTTATAAGGCAGCCTTTTCCAATCCAGTGCCTTTCAGTGGTGTTCGGACCACAACTCCCCAAATTCCAAGCTAGCATAGCCACTAGGGAGAGCACCAGATCAGAATGAACAATTCTGTGATTAGGATGAATGGGTGTGGAATTAAACATTTCCTAGAATCTAGAAATCTCTGTATAAGTGTTCTTTTATCATTTAAGCGTGTCGTTTTAATGCTAAACAAAAGCAAACTTTGAAACATGTTAAATTGCTATTTGGCCAGGGTTGCTTCTCTAAGGTCTGAATGTCATGATCTCTAGCATCTCTCTCCTTTTTATCCCCCACGCTTGGCTTTCACTCCATCACCGTCCTTCACTCATCCCATCTTCCTTGCTGACTCCATCCTCACTCATCCTCCTTCAATTTGTGTATCTACCTTATTGAGTTTAATATTTGTATGCCATTGCAATTTGAGAGACATTTCAAGGTTCAGTATTAGCCTCCTTTGGAGATTGAAGCCTGGTTTGGCAGCAGAAAAACACCATTTCCAGAAGAAGTGATCCCAAGGAAGAATCTGAGACACGGCCGAGATAGCCAACCACACAACCCTCTGCACCAGGTTTACTTACTTCTTCCACATCCAGTCTAGACAACTGAGAAACTGGAATTTCCTTTTCTTTCCGTTTCCTTGGCTTGCCTTCCTCCTGTGCCTTGCTGCTACTTTGCTCTGGTTGCTGCAGCTTCTTTTGTGACTTGGGTTTCTGAGAACTGAGGACACAACCAATTCATTGATGTCTGAACTTTGGGTTCATGTCGGGGACACCACCTCAGGTTTTGAAACTGTAGCTCTGCACGTGGATGTGCAATGTCTGGGGAGGTGTTAGGAGATACCTGAACCCTGGCCTTTTGGGTTCTGGTACTCTGCTCTAGAACTGCTTCCCAGTAGAAGTGTCTTGCCAATATTTTAATGTCAGCTGTTGTTGAAGCTGCATCTTTTTATCTGAGGTTAATCATAATATCTACCTAGATGCCAATTCAATCTGCAGATTACACTCCAGATTACTTTAGTTAAATAATGCCATCTAGTGAGACCCCAGGACTGTGCCTTCTGAAATGAGGTTCCCCTGAGATTTGAACAACCTTCACCCTCAGGTGTTTCCCAGGGCCTTGAAGATCAAATTATGAGATTTCAGAGACTGGGTAGGAATTTCTTCAGTTATTTACCTTGGAATGGCCTGGTATATCAAGAACAGAAAGTATCGGATTTAAAGGATCAACCTATGTCTATATACATATATTTCAGCAATGAAACGTAAATTTTAACCTGAAGTGTTTTTCTAATTCTGTTACTGCCAATGACAGCGTTTTCCCAGGAATCTTCTCTGTGATTTCCACCACAAAACTCTGCAGTGTTTCAGTAGGACCTTCCATCCTAGCCTGCAAAAATGCAAAAGGACAGAAAGGAGAGCCTTGAGCTTCTTGGACTGAAGCAAACACGCATAGCCCTTCCAGCCACTTAGATACAGCTCAGATGATTTCTCCAGCTAAAATAAGAAATGCCTTGGTGGGCTACTCCAAAGGACCATCTTATTCAGCATTCTGCAGTTGCACGGTGTTGATCCAATGTACTTGACCCAATTGCGGTTTGTTCCCTCTATGGCTTTCCAGCAGGAGACCTCAAAAGTGTGATTCAGGAGATATTCAGCCACTAGGCCTTAGTGGCCACTGAGAGCCCACTCCCACTGAATCAAAATGCAATGCCCAAAGAAAATAACAAAGGTGCATAGCAATATTTATTAGACAGTATGTCCTGGAGGGAATCTCCTCCAGAAGAGGAGACAAGGAGATTCATATTTATACATGTCAGAAAGGAGACATGCATGCATACATGTCCATAAATGATAGCATAATAAATCTCAAGATTACTTCTTGCCCTTCTGCTATCTACCAATAAATCTTGGATTAATTCCTGCCCTTCCTCAGATTACTTCCTGCAGAGGGTTATGGTCTTAGGAAAAAAACACATTTTCATCTTGAAATTGAAGGGTTGCAATGGAATGTACTGATAAAAACTTACAACAAGCCATTGTAGAGGTCAGTGTTGCAAGGCCACATTCTTTTTGTTTTAAATTGTTCCATTATAGTGAAAACTGATTTTCTCCATGCTGCTCCCTGAATTTGTCAAGTAAAAGCATTGAACTGATACATCCATAAGGAGGGCTGGTCAGTTTTGCAGCCATCAACTTTTTATAGTGTACGAGAACATTCCCCACTTCCGAGTCTCCCTACTTTTATTTCACTGTGTGAAAACTGAATAATTATTTAAAAACACATGTTGTGTGTTGTATTTTAGAACAGGGGATTTATTTGTTTATTTATTTGCACTTTTAGTTGGACATTGCTAGACCGATCTTACCTGCTTGCCGTTATGAATCATTGCAATGAAATCTGGGAGCAGCACTGGCACTAGGACATTGGGTTCTTCCATCCAGCTGTCTTCTTCAGCCTTCAAGCCAAAGCATAAATTTAAAATAAGAAAGACGAAAATATAAAGACAGTTACTGTTAGTAAAAAGAAACAACAATTAGGTCACGCCCAGGATTCCTTCAGAAGAAAAAAATTAACTGGGAAAGTCAATTACTTTAATTAAAACTACCAAACAAAGGTTTGTGGGATAAGACACATACTGTCATACCTGCGTTAGGCCAGTTTTCCTTCTCCAGGTGATGCTGCAGGGCACAGTTTGGCTCTCGATCACATAGTTACTCTCTGTTGACTGCAAAGCAGCAAGGATCTCATCTGCACCATTAATCTGTAAGAGACCTATTGGAGGCTTCAATTCAAGATGGATCGCTAAGGAGAAGAACGGATAAAAAAAGCCAAGAATTGGGGAGTGGGGAACCATACCTGGGTCTAACACTATTTGAATGTGTTTCAGACATTGCTCTGGTCTTTGGGCTTTGCGAAGTTGGGCCAAGGCTGCTTTCCTCTGTTTCTCTTGCTCTTGCAGCTGCTTCTGAGTTCTTTGCTCTTTGCTCTTCTGCAGGGCAGCCTGGAAAGCTTTGTCTAAATCCTGATGGTTCTGTCTCGTACTTGTCCGAAGAGGAAAGGACTTCAGGCTTATTTGGTGGGTACCATCCTGCATCTTACTATCAGGGATGCAAACTGGACGCTGGGGCAAGGATTGTGGCTTAGCATCCCATGAAGATACCTCCTGATCGCTCTCTGACAGTTCCCAAGCGATGGGTGCCACATTTTCTTGGAGATCAGAGTCAGCAAGTAGTGGCTCCTGCCAGCAAGTAGGCACCACTTCTTCATCACTGACACAGGGCCTGTTTAGCTCAGTGGATTCTGGGCCACTCTTTGTTTGGATCCTAGTAAATGAACGAGCAGTTGTCGCGGGTCCGGCTACCAGCAACTTCCTTTGGAGCCTTTCGGCCAAGGGGAGAAGTATTTCCTCCTCCTCCTCACTCTCGCTACTGAGCTGCAGTCTCACATCTGTAGAAGCAGCCACCTTGACTGAATTGCATGGACCATAGGGCTTTTTCCTGGCAGGAGAGCAAAGGAATGAATCCTCTGAATCTGAGCTGAAGAGCACAACTACTTCGTTCTCAGGAGAAGGCCGGAAGCAGTTTTGTGGATCAGGAGGAGGTTTGTTTACAGAAAAGAAAACTGGTAGTTCCTCACAGTCACTCTCATCCAGTTCTGAGAACATGATGTTTAGCTTCATGCACCAAAGAGACTGCACTGGGTTGGAGTGGCATCTGAGGAAAAGAAGCAAACAGTTTAAATCAACAACAGAAAGTTCTCCCTCTTCAAAACTCACATTCCCTCAGGGATAATTGATCAGGGTCTAATGCTAGAAGAGAAAACAGCCAAAGTAAATCAAAATCAAGTCACCAGACCTCAGCATTTGTTCCTTCTATTCTCTTGCCCAGCGCATTCCTGGATGAGGAACAAATCACTCTGCCTACACTTCTGAAGTCAGGATAGGGAGTGTAAGTTTCCATATTGAGCTTAGCTAATGCAATGTCAAAGGAAAAATATTCAGTATAGTTTTCCCCAAGTGATTCTTCTCCATGTGTTTGTTTATGATATAGTCCTTAAAATTCCAACCAGCTAGAAACAATGCCCATATTTTAAGAATTTGTGGGCTTGAAGACTGTTCAGCTCAGAAGATAACTGATCATGTGGCTTGGAAATTCTGGATGCTGTGAAAAAATGCATTTGGAAGATGCTATCGAAGAGGTCTGATCTGAGGAACAGGAAGAAGACACTTTCTAACACTTATTAATTCAACGCCTTTTGTGGGCTCCCCTGCTAGTTGCCAGGAGTTGCAGATGGTCTGACTACCCAAGTGAAAAGATGACATGCTTCCAGGAACTCAGCAATTAGTTATCCAGCCCTGGTTGCTAAAGTGTTCATGTGGGGAAGGGGGGAACACCATTATTCCTTGTGGTCACCCCAGAACCCGCAAAGAACATCTGTAATAAAGGCAATGACAAAAGTCTGTGGAGTGGACCTTCCCCACCATTGACCTGCCAAGGATTTAATAATGTATCACTGACGTCTTCCCTCTACACTTTCAAAGGGACTATATTTTAGCATTTATTCATATTATTTACTAATCTGTTCTCAGGGATTATACAATGAAAGATTAAAGCCTGCAACAGAATTGGGAGAAAAGGAAGATCTACTTAGAAGTGAGGGAGTCAAGTTTTCAGGGGAACTCCAAAATTCCATTTTTAGGGAATTTCAAAAAACAAGGGGCCACAACAATTCTTGTGCTCACTTCTCCCCCAATTGTCTGTTTAGTTTTTAATGAGTCGGGATGCAAGATCTCAAATATCATCAGCATCTATCTTTTCTTTTTCCTATACTCCCATCAGACAAAATCAACATACAGTAATTGCATTTTAAACACACAATATTGATCTCCGTATAGTCTAGGTATTTGCGTTAAGATATACTCCAAATTTACTTACAAGAGAAAAGTTCATATCATTTCTTTGATGTGAAACAAGCAGGATTCTGTCACCAATTATGTGTATTTCTCCTAGGGAAAGAGAATACCCATTATGAAATGAATTGTGTTGCCTCCAACTTTAATTGCACAATCTATTTTATTCCCAAACCGAACAGAATGACACTTCTACTGATAAAGATGGATATAGAACAACTCAAATAGGAGAACCAGAACCATTATTCAGCTGCACTGAACCTACACCTTAGATGAAAGATTGATTTTGTATTGCTTTACTAGTATTATCTTCCCTATTTCTAATTTAAAGCAATTCTACATGAAAATGGCCGATCAATCTCTCCTCACCCATCCCCAAGGAGATATAGAAGTTGTTTTGGAAGAATGAAGGGTGGGAATCCCTGCCTCTGAATAATTTCCATTTTTTAATGAGCTGTTGCATATGCTCCGTTTCTGATAGTTAAAGGTTTTAATTTTTTTAATAAAAGAGACTGCCTCCTCCCTTATAATACTTGATTTAAGATGGAAGCCTGGGGGATTCTGGGAGTTTAAGTCCCCTCATCTTAAAGTTGCTAAGGTTGAGAAACACTGGTCTTTAGTAAAAGTACAGTATATGCCTGCTGTCCTTTGGAAGGTAAAACTTTAAGGCTGCAACCCTGTAAACACTGGATTGTGAATAAACTCCACTGAACTGAATAAGGTTCATAAGGTTTCTGAGTGGTCAGGTACTGTATAGAATGCATTGCAGCGTGAGTCATATATCCCAACTACAACCCTGTGAAGGGAAGTGGATCTGCTCAGTACGCATACACACAAGATTAAACTGTTTCAATTTGCTGTTGGTGGTAACACTATTTTAAAACCGAAACAGTGAAATGACTTAAACCTACTTGGCTGATGAGGTGAGAGCAAAGATTAAGGAAATGTGCTGACATAACAAAATAAAAAAGTTATCAGAGAAAGTTTACAATATTGCCAAAGGTAACATACCTGCTCAACTGAATAAATATTTATAAAATACCCCACATTCCAAGCAAATCATACCTTTTTTAAAATCTTGAAACTATTATGGAAAGATTCGTCTAAAATCTTATAACATAAACAACAGATTCTTTTTCTTTAAGCGAACAAAAAGAACTACTGTACTATATATTAAAAGGAAGCCTGAACCAGCTTCGGAGTTCGGCTTGCTGGCTTTATGCCCTAATTGGTGGAAGATGAAGCCAACCTCTTCTGCTATAACGGGGAGTGGGGGCAATAGTAAGTAAGTTATTTGATTTGTCAATCGCTTACAAGATAATAGGTATAAGTATAAACATGAGTAAGAATACAGGAAATAGGTACGAATAAATGGGAACAATAGGACAGGGACGGTAGGCACGATGGTGCAGCAGTTAGTTAGTTAGTTAGTTAGGAAAGAAAGAAAGAAAGAAAGAAAGAAAGAAAGAAAGAAAGAAAGAA